TGTACCCTACTTTTTATTTAATATATTAGCCTTTGTGCTTTCAAAAAATATATATATATATATATATATATCTCCTTGCACACCTTTTTATTGCTTAATGATATAGCCTGCATTCTTTCACTCAATTTTAAAGCATGATATGATTTACTGTTCCATTTACTGCTACAATTTCAAATAAATTCTTTTGTGCTACTTGTTCGTCCTTTCTTTCTCTACCAGACGATTATTGCACAAGTGAATCACGCCATCGGTGCGGAAGGCGTTGTCAGTATTGAATGCAAACAAGTTGTTGACCAATACGGGAAGATGATATTGGACCTCCTCATTGCACAGGTTTGCACTTTACATAACTTTACCTCCCACCTTTTCTATTTCTAATTTGTATGGCTGCTCGCTCAGACACGGCCAGGAAAGGTATGCAGCCAAATCGGCCTATGTGTATTTGATGGAACTCTACCTGCCAGGTTTGTCAGAACTGTTGTTTTTTATTCTGTTGAGGATATTGATTTCTCCTCCCTTTCTGCTCATTGTATTGAGGTCTTTTGTACAGTACTGGCATTAAATCTGTGCTTGACAAGGAAAACGTGAATTCTTCTTCTCGTAATGAAGATTTGTTCTGCACTGCTTGTGAAATGGCTGTAGTATGGATTAAGAATCAGCTTCGGGAGAATCAAACTGAGGAACTAATACTAAACTATGCTAATGAGGTTGGTTTGCTAAGGCTAATTATGTTACACACAAATAAATATTTATATTTATAGAAAATATTATATTTTTTTATAATTTTTTCTTCAAATGGTTGATTTTCTCGATAATGTAACTATCTTTTTAAGCTATGTGGACGGCTTCCAAGTCCCATGGGGGAATCAGCTGTGGACTGCTCTCAGTTATCAAGCTTGCCAGATATCTCTTTTACAATTGCAGACAAAAGCTTTGTTCTTACTCCAGAACAGGTATGCTACAAGCTTATGATAATTTCTATGGTTTAATATGAACATATTTATTCTGATCTTGCTAATTCTCCTTTTTGTCTTATTTTGTAACTAATATTGCATGGTTGAAAACGTGTAGTCTAATCTCAGAGAAGCAGGGGTCCGTTGTAACTAACAATCCATCATATTTCGTATTGTTTGCGGTGTCCGATTGGAAAACTAGCAAAGTAGGTGATAGAAAATGAAGGGTAAGGAAAGCTTAAAGAAACAGGATAGAGGAAAAAAAAAAAATTTGAATTATAAACTAGGAATGAAAGATGATTAAGATTAAAAAAAGGAAGAAAATTTAGTGAACAAGCTTGTGAATAACTACACATTAGAGGAAGAATAAATTTAGAGAACTGAGAACATGGTCGAAGGGAATAAAATGAGAAATGAGAAGTTTAAGAGAAGGCTTAAAAATAGGACTCTAATGAAAACATAAGAATGTCTGAAATCTGGAAAAAAAAAACTGTTTTTGGGTCAAATTTTCATCAAGATTAGTTTCAAAATCATTAGATTTTACTTTGAGAATTGTACTATACAAATTTTGATTGTTTCTCATATATTGCACCCATCTCAAAATTAAAGTTCTGCCCTTCTAAAGACAATTGGATTGAAAAAGTTTACAACTGGAAGCAGAAAGCCTTACCCTAAATTGATTTACTCCTTTAGACTGACACTAGAGAATCTTGCTTTTTCTATCTTGAACTCCTGTTTCTGTGGAGTTCTTATCTTGACCGCATTTTTGGACCTATCATTTCCCTCATTAACTGGGACGTGTATCTGAATCTATTGGTACGGATCATGGACCATGGTGTTTGAAGCGGTTTAGCTATCTTTTATAAGTATTAACTTTGTTTTTCCAGTTGCCTAGTTTTTAATGTGTTGAGAAATTATGGCGAAGAAAAACAGGAATCGAGTTCAAAAGAACACAAAGAGATTTAACGAGGTTCGGTAGAGATGCCTACGTCCTCGGGAGCAGAGCGGCAGCTTTCTTTCAATATTCAAAAAATAATACATAATACAAAATATGAGATAAGTCATAGGGTTACATACAAGTCTATTTATAACCCTAGACAGAACAATAAATGAAACTTTGGGTATAATATGTAATTACCAAATTATTCTTGTACCACACCCCCAACCCACATAAGGAAACTCCCATAATGTGGGTAGAATCTTCTGCTCTGCTTCGCTCCGCTCCAGAATCTGTCCCTTTATGGTATATGAGCCATATCTAACAAATCTTCACTTTGGCGAATATTCAGCCATTTAGGAGAAATACGTCATGGAATTTCTTACATATCAGAAGTATGTTGAGTTACAATGCTTCTCTAGTAACTGCAAATTCAACAAGTCCAACAATGCAAGAACTTGTTGATGGTAACTTGCTTGGTCAACATATCAGTTGCATTCTCATCAGTATGAACTTTCTGCAATAGTATCTCACCAGAAGCAATCAATTCTCTGATCTTGTGATATCTGACATCAATGTGCTTGATTCTCGCATGATACACCTGGTTCTTAGCCAGAGATAACACTCTGACTGTCACAATGCAACTGAACTCCTCTTTGCTCAACGCCCAGTTCCTTTACTAGCCCAGCAAGCCATAAAGTTTCTTTTGCAGCTCCAACTACTGCCATGTACTCAGCTTCAGCTGTAGATAATGCCACAATAAACTGAATTGTTGATTTTCAATATATAGGCCCTCCACTAAGAGTAAACACATGCCCAGTTGTAGACCTTCTGCCATCCAAATCACCAGTATAGTCTGAATCAACGTACCCCACAACTGAAGGATCATCCTGATGACTGCCAAAAATAATTCCATGTCCTACAAATACCTGAAAATCCACTTGAATGCTTCCCAATGTTGCCTTCCAGGTTTAGCCATGTATTTGCAGACTTGACTAACAACATGAGACAAATCAGGACGAGTACATATCATTGCATACATCAAGCAGCCAACTGCACAGACATATGAAACTTTTGTCATGTCTTCGATTTCTGTATTTGTCCTAGGACACTGTTATGAAAAAAACTTAAAATGATTTGCCAAAGAAATGCTTACAGGCTTTGCTTTGCTCATCTCAAACTTGTCCAACACTTTATCAGCATAGCCTTGTTGAGATAAACATAATCACCTTGAGTCTCTGTCTCAATGAATTTTCATTCCAAGAATCTTTTTCGGAGGACCCAAGTTTTTCATGTCAAATTTCTAGCTCAATAAAGCTTTCAAACCACGGACTTCATTCATATTCTTTGCAGCAATCAGTATATCATCAACATACAACGACAGAAAAATAATAGAACGATCATCAAGGCTCTTCACATAAACACAACAATCATACTCACATAGGGCTGTAAACGAGCCGAGCCTGAGCGAGC